ATGAACAAACCTAAAACGAACATAATGACGAATAGAGAAACTATTACCAAACAAATAGACGGAGAAGCTATCGAATATGTAGTTCACTACGTATAATTAGGGCAAATAATATCATTAAATGACCAAATAGATCTTGATAATAGAAAGAAGAGTGTCTTGCGCCTGCAAGAGATTTTGGTGCCTTAAGGAAGTACTTAAAAGTAAGAACTTCCCAATGGTAGCTAAGGAAAAGAAGAAGAGCTAACATCAGAAAATAATGGAAGCAGCTGGAAGAGGCCTACGCGTCACAGGACACGCTGATTACCAAAAACGGGTCATAAGATGTATTAGGTTAAGCTTTATTATGTAACTTAAATAAGTGTTAATATATTACACTGGGAGTCAGCAATAAACGCTTAATAATAAGATGAGCAGTGTTGGGTGCAGCTTGAACGTCTCTCACCCCTGAGGACGTAGGTGCGAACGCCGGCGGTGCATTGGACTTTTCTGAGTGTCATTTAACACTCGCACGCGCAGTGATGTTTCCTTCATAACATTGCGGGGAAACTGTCTTGTCTTCTACAGTGTGTATCAAGCTGATCGCCTACTTGCCTATTAGGATGATCTTGAGGTAACTCTAAGGCTACTCAGCGTAGTTTTTTTTAATTTCAGTTGCAGATCTAACGTATAAGACAACAGCCTTTATGAAGAAAACTCAATGATTTATAACATTTATTAGTAATCATAACAATCAAATAGGTATAGAGTATTTAAAATTTTCTTAACCCATATTAATAATAAAAATAATTTAAAATTAAAACAAATTATATTTATATTTCGTATGCTATATAGATAAAATATTTAACTTATGTGCAGCTTGCCAATGTTTATCACACTCATTCGTTATTAAGTACATAAAAGAAATACTGATTTTAATAGGCATGTGTACTGTGTAGGCAATCATAAAACTATAACTATAAACATTTTTTAAATAAAAGTATTTTTTTTAAACTAGCGTTTTTGTCTACTTGTATTTCCTATAATTCCTTATATTTTTTAATTTAAATTGCACCCGATTCTTTAACATTGAGCCTGGGAACGGTAGCTGAGTGGATCTCCCTCTCCAATGGACAGCTAAAATTTTTTTCATACGTTTAAGGTTCTATACTTCTGTCCTTTTGGAATAAATGTTTTTGAAATGAAAATCCTGACTTAACTAGTTAATGCTTTATCTGGACGAGACCAAAACGCACTCTTAGTGTGTTCTTGAACTTGTTTAACCGACTTCAAAAAACGAAGAAAATTTTAAGTTCGACGTTTTTATTTTAAATTTTATTCCTATTGAGTAATCTCAATGATGTCTTTAAACGTATCTAATACATCTTCGTTCTAACTAGGCCAAGATGCTTCTGTTCCACTTTGCTGTGCACTTGGCCGAGTAATGTGTTGTGGAAGTAATCGGTGTTAGGGTAACCAACCTTTATTTTAGGATAAATCAATTAAATGTGAACAAAAATATTTTTTTAACACACGCGAATAATTTCGTCATAATCTCAATTAGTTACACTGTTCAGGTAAAGTACGCCTCCATCAAATTGTTCTGCTTTAGATTCTGCCAATAACATCGACCCTTTCTCGCACTTCTCTACTGCTTCATTTAAAATAATTTAAAACAACTATTAATGTCCCAATCATTGTATCTTTCTTTATTATAGCTACTAGTATGTTTGTTGTTCTCCGGATTTATAAATTTTGTACTGTCGTGTTTTGTTTTGCTTTGCTCTGTATCATATTTTTATTAGTGAAACATTTTGTGGATACATCCAATGTGTTTATTTTAGGTTTTAACTATTTTTATGGTATGGAGATGTATCTGTTTTGTTTCCCAAATAAATAAATTGTATTTACGTTATAATAGAAATCTTCTTCTTCGCAAACTTTATTACTGAAGGTCGTGCAGTGCTGAAGGCCCAAAAATCATCGACTTGCAGCCTCCACACCACTCTCTCCTGGTCTCAGTGCATTAGGGATGTTGAGACCCATAATTGTCTTTACCTGGTCAGACCAACGGGTAGGCGATCAACCCCGACTTCTCATGCCATCCTCTCTTCAATTACCAACTTGTCGAGACTATTTGGTTCTCTTCTGTAAAAAAAAAGTAAAATATAATTTGTTAAAACGGTGTAATTTAAAATACTAAGGTTTTATGAATAAATCGGAATCATTTTGACTTTATAGCAATGTAACAATAATGATAATATATTTCGCTTGCCCCGGGGAACAAAGTTGTAAAAGCAAAATCTATTTTTTTTCAGGAAAAATAAATGACGGTAATGCTATTATTACTAGGATTCTAAGTACATTACACATACTAATATATATACTAATATATATGAAAGTTTCATGATCAAATCGAAGAGTTAAAAAAAAATACTATTTCACGATTTAAACATTATTCAAGCAAAAGCGTTTACGATTGTTTAACTGTTTAAACATAATTACGGATAACACAGTAACTGCACATTACGACGGCCCCATTTTATGAATGTCTTGAATGTAATAATGTATTACCACTCTTTTTGCGGAAATATTATGACGTAGGTGAATCAAACCACTCTTTATTTATTTTAAAACTGTCGCAATATTATGACTATTTGATAGAATATTTACAATCTAAACTAAAAATCTTTATGGTTGCTCTCTATTTCAGGAAAGTAAAATTAGGTAATTTAAAATGTTTTCCAAAAATTTTGAAAAAGTTCGTGGTGATGTTTAAATCTATGTCCGAAATCTAATCAAAACATATTCACCCTAGTCCAGTGCAGTATTTGACATTGTAGAGAAATATTTCGATAATGTATTGTCATTTATGTGTAATGAGTGGTTCCGCGACTCTTATCAGCTTATCAACCGAGGCTGCGTCGAACCTGACAATGAATTTTAATAGAGATGGCTGTTTTCATCTATCGATATCGATAGATTTGAGTACTTTTATTTGGATTTTTTTCAATTGATTTCGATACAGTAATAGCTCCCAAATACTAGAACTTTAAATTAGAATAAATTTTGTACTTAGTGAAATAAATGTTTTCTTAGGCACACTGCCACAGGGCCCAAAGTTTATCTTTTTTATAATAAAAAAAACAAAATATTTATTTAAGCAGACAATCATAAAGCCATATGGTTTTTATATGTTAGTAACGATATTGTCCTAAATATTATATTAGTAGGTTATCTTTAAGGTATATTACATCATAAAATTAAAAATTATATAAAATTACCACGCACTCAACACCGCCGCAACAAAACCACACTCATATTTTTGAAGGTATACTTTTTTAGGCGCGTTATGAAAAATTGATGAGAGTGAAATTTTACGATGCGCGCGCACCGTGACACAAAATTAACAGAATGAAGTTGCCCACGGAAGATGCTACGGCATTGGACATAATTTAAAAACAACATTCGAATAATAATAGAATTTATGTTACACTTAATGTAAGAAATTATAATAAATATTTATTTATTTAATTTTTCAAATGTAAACTGAACTTTATTGACTATAATGACTCCTTTTCCAGTCTTTGATTATTTAATTGTAATTAATTATTTGCATGCAATCAAAAACTATTTTTAATAACGCCAAAGAAGTATAAAATCTTACGCGCGTACATTACCGCACGTACACGCACCCTTTTTTTTACTATGTACCATGCAGTCCATTGGAATGTAAATCCTTAAAGCATTCCCGCTATACCCGCCAGCATTTTTGTCAGTTTTAAATTATTTTTATTTTTATTACTATATGGGTTAAGAGTGTACATATACTGTTTAATTATTTATATATTTAAAATTTAATAAAATATTAATTAAAATGTAATGTGTTTGTTTTTAGTGGTGTTTTTATTAAAATTTTAATAATCTGTATACAATTGCTAAGACATACCGTGTTTAAGGATTTTGTTTTCTGGGAATAGTCATTTGTTTAATTTTACAGTTTTCACTATATTATTCTGTCTTCATCTGCATTATGTTTATATACAATTGTCGTCCATTCAACTTCATCAAATATTAATCATTCTTAACTCTTAATGATTTCGGATATACCACTAGAACCTGGTCCCAAGTACTCCAAGCAAGATTATTTTAAAAACGTAATAAATATTAGTATTTATATTTAGATATAATATATTTGCTCAGTACGCCATCACGTTTATTTCGTTTTAAAAAACCTACTGCATTTACTGAAAAAAAATAGTGGTTTTTTGATCGGTATTTGTAGAAGTCTGAAAACGTGTCTGACTAATGTTCCATCATCCTCCCCTTTATGCGTGTTCAAGACTAAAATGCAAGTATAAATTGCTGCACTTATTTTTATAAATTTCAGTAGACTAAACATCCTTAAATAACATACCTAACTTCTTAGGTTAAGATACTTAGATAATTTCGTTCTTTTTTTTTATTGAACAGAGGCCAAACGCTCCTGCGTTAAGTTATATCGCCACCCATGGACACTCTCAATGCGAGAGGGCTCGCGAGTGCGTTGCCGGCCTTATAAGAATTGGTACCTTTTTCTTAAAGGAAGCTAGTCTTCGGAAAAGCTCTTAGTAGCTCCTAAGTCGGAATTAGTTCGAAAATACTTCAGTTTACACATACAGCTGGTAAGCATACAGGTGGTCGGCAGCTGGTTACACATAGTGGTGGTGCGTGAAAAAGGCTCAGTTGAACGTTGCAATAATAGTCACACATCTCCAAAGTTTTGACGTGAGAGCTGTTGCAATTTACGTTTTTCAAACTATCGATAACTATGCGCTCGCGCAACTCACTAGCACCTGATAGGGGTAAGGCCTTCATACTTCAGAAGGATTATTTCAAATCATAGAATCCTTTAAATATTAAACGTTTGACAATCGGACGTATAGTATCATTGTATGTCTGTAACATATGCCACCCTAAAAGGAAGGAAATATAAAGGCATACACTGCAGTAGCATAATCAGATAATAGGAAAAACTTGTGAACATGGGTCGTGCTATTTTGTGTGTTTTGTTTGTGATTTTCGATTATGGATTGTGTTATATTAACCGTAAGTATGAAAATTATTTTACATCCACGAGACTTAAGACATTCTGATAATACATTCCATTGATTTACTATATATAAATCTTAATTCCTATACACAAATATACAGTATTTACAATTTTATTAGCCTACATAATAATAATAATAATTATTAAAAATTAATAAATAGAAAATAGAAAATTTAATAAGTTTAGTCCCCGAGTGTACCTTTAACGCTGGCAGCATTTCCTCGCTATTAATAAATTATATAATATTAATTTAATTGATTCATTAATTTAATTGTTTGTTAATTATAATCTTAATGTTCTTGTATATTTGATTGTTATGTTTAGATACATACATAAAATGTTACTAAGGATTATGTTTATATTATACTTTCTTTTTATTAAATTGTGGATATGAAGTCTTGACGCTTTTCGTACTTTATCATTAGGGTCTGTTATCGTTCACTTACATTTTGAAATACAGGTCTTCAATTTAGTATGTATATAGCTAAGTTTATGCCTAGATGAATATAATACCTACAAACTACATGGCTATATAAGTACAAAAATTAGGTAAATCTTCGACATAATTTGGGACTAATAGACTTTAAAGACTTATTGTCAGCTTAAGGTTAATGGACAATGTTTTAAATAATGAAACAAGGTGTTGTATAATTATGTATATAATTAAAAGAAACTATTGAAACTATTTATTTCATTAAAAACTAAATAATAACTAATTCATAATTGTTTATTTCAAAATATTAACGGGTCGATATGGCAAATGCAGAGTTTTCGTTAAAAAAACTTATTAGACACAATTCTCTGTCATAAAAATAATATGTTCTTACTATTACACGATATATTGCATAATTGTGCTTATAATTATAAGAATTTATTAAAAAAATATATAATTACAATAATGCGTATCGCGTTATAATTATAATTACCTGCAAGAGTAACAAGTAACACGTGTGTTATCTAAATCACTGTTTTTCCATTGATTTAAATAAATATTTCTATTTTCATCACATCGTTAATACAATTTGACAGTCAAGGTGGCAGAAGTTAGATATGGCTATGACTTCCGGCTCAATCAATATCTTATTAAACAAGTGTAATTTTATTATGTAACAGGGGCAAACGAGCAGGAGGCTCACCTGATGTTAGTGATAGCCGCCCATTCACATTGCCAGAAGGCTCACAAGTGCGTTACCGGCATAGAATTAGTACGCTCTTTTCTTGAAGGACCCTAAGTCGAATTGGTTCGGAAATACTTCAGTGAGCAGCTGGTTCCACATAGCGGTGGTGCGCGGCAAAAACTGCCTTAGAAAACGCTCAGTTGTGGAACGACTATGTCCAACTTTTAAGTCACAAGAAGTGGCCCAACGAAGTGGGCACAGCTAGTATGAAAATCTCTATGTAGCATGCGCCAAATGACTTTGTTTTATACTGCCGAAGTCCTGAATAATTGGTGTATATAAAATTCTCGTGTCGCGGTGTTTGTGGTTAAACTCCTCCGAAACGTCTTGACCAATTTTCATGAAATTTTGTGTGCATATTGGGTATAACTGAGAATCGGACAACATCTATTTTTAATCCCTCTAAATGTTAAGGGTAGTCCACCCCTAATTTTTTTTTTTTAATTTTTAGATAAATTTTTGTTTTTTTATGATACAGCATTAACAAATACAAACAACCCCTAATGTTCACCCCTCTACGATCAACCCCTATTTTTTATTATAAATGATAAACATGACAAAACGACGTTTGCCGGATCAGCTAGTTGTTGTATATTATTTTACTTATGAATAGATTTTTGTTATTTACAGTGGCAGATATAGAATGCGGTGCCCAATCCTTTAGGAATGCACGTATTGTGGGTGGAACGAGCAGTCAGCCAGCTGAGTTTCCATGGGCTGCTAGCATCTGGAGACAAGGCACCCATCAGTGTGGTGCCACAGTCATCAGTGATCGTTGGTTGATCACAGCTGGGCATTGTGTTTGCAAGTAAGATCGTTTATATACAAAATAAAAGGGAATAAAAACGTTGTTTGCGTACAATTTTGATTATGTATGTTAAAAAAGTTATGTACTATAATATACATATATTATAATAGCTTCGAGTCCCTGCCTGCATATCTGGACTACAATAATTGGAAAACATAAACATAAACATAATACATAAAAATGTATATATTATATAATCATTTTGGTGGCATATAAATCTTTGTTGTGAGTTTGTGTTTCAAGTGTTATAAGTGTCGACAAAACACAGAAAACTCATCTCTCCGCACATGTCCATAGATAATTCCTCAATGAAACAATTACAAAAATACTATTAATGTTTTTCACTTGTTTTTATTTAATTTTTGTATAATTTAATTAAACTAAACGTTCATTGATGTAGTGTAATATTGCTAACAAAAACCATGATGACAATTAAAATACATCATCGAGGATTTAACACGATGTAATAATGTACGATGAGCAGTGTTGGCCTAGTGGCTTCAGCGTGCGACTCTCATACCTGAGGTTGTAAGTTCGATCCCCGGCTGTGCACCAATGGACTTTCTATGTGCGCATTTAACATTCGCTCGAACGGTGAAGGAAAACATCGTGAGGAAACCGACATGTCTTAGACACAAAAAGTCGACGGCGTGTGTCAGGCACTGGAGGCTGATCACCTACTTGCCTATTAGATTTAAAAATAATCATGAAACAGATTCAGAAATCTGAGGCCAAGACCTAAAGAGGTTGTAGCGCCACTGCTTTATTTTAATATATGTACGATGATTCGTATCTTTAAATACGACAATTGTAATATTTGACAACTCGAAACAAACGCCTATCCACACAATTCATTTATTTCATAATATGTGTAGTATACAATCACATCGTGCTTCCGTTTAGTTCCAAAGATTTTGAAAGCGATTTTAAAATTTCTCATTACTTTTCTATTACAAATACTAATCACACTCTGACCAATTCTCATATTTCAGTGTATTCGATACCTTTTATAAGGCGAAACAGCTGACAGCTGTCGTTGGCTTCACGGATATATCAACTTCGGATAGAAATGAAGCGTTATCAAGCATAGTACCACATCCCGACTACAGGTAAGTATTGCAGCGCGGTTCTGGATAGATATTGACTGCTGATTTTATTTATAGGCTCCCAGTGTTACTAGACATCTTAATATAAATAAAATTTGCTCACCGTGTGCACGTTGATCTAACTCAAAAGATAGAATAGCTTACATCTCAATTTATACCCGCAAAATATTTTTTTATTATTTGATAGTCACAATTCTAACAGTTGTGTAACATGGCGCTGTGTTGAAAGTACCAACCAACTACAATTTAATGGCATAACCACTAAAAAACATGGTGGTCTCCATGACTGGTGTTCTCCTACCGATTCCCTTAAATAGTTTACTACATGTAATAGAACAAAAACCTTAGCCACAGCAACGCTTGGCCGGTCTGATAGTTTTAATATATGTATGTTCGACTAAATATAGTCCAAAAGACCGTTTTCTTCTAATAAAATTTACTAAAAAAAAAGCACCCTTTGTCGCTCTTGGAAGACACTGCCCTTAAAGCTCCTTTGTCGCGCACCTCGACAATGTGGAACCAGCTGCCCACCGAAGTATTTCCGAACCAATTCGACTTAGGGTCCTAAGACATTAGCGTACCAATTCTTAAAAGGCTGGCAATGCACTCGCGATCCCTGTGGCAATGTGAGTGTCTATGGGCAGTATCACTTAACATCAGCTGAGCCTCCTGCCCGTTTGCCCCTGATGTATAAATTGGCATCCCGTTCGAATCTTCTTTCATCACATCGTAAGAAAACCATGTCTAAGGATAAATTAACGCCAATTATGGCCCCCGTACATCATATATTTTGAGATAATATGGAAGCCACACTTTGTACAAGTCTCGATTTTGAATCTTGAGACTCAAAATATTATATACCTACAGACAGGCTGATATCTACTTCAAGTCAATGAAACAGACGCAAAAATATTGTCTAGAAACTTTAATAGGTTAGAAATTTAAGATTTTTCGATATTTTTTTAGATGCAAAAAGAAGACCAACGATGTTGCCTTACTGAAAACAATTCGTCAGCTAATATGGAGTAGTTCTATTCGACCTGCATGTCTACCGCAACCTTTAGATTCAGACTACAGTGGACAGTTGGCTACGGTAGCTGGTTGGGGCTTCACTCACGAAGATAGGGGTATCGGTAAGTTCGAAACCACGATTTTTAAACTTACTTCAGAAAATGAGGCTTTTCGTTTGATCTGACGTGACCTATTTAGACTTCAAAGCATGTGTGTTAAATTGCAGGTTTGAATGTTTGTATCAATATTTCTCGATCCTTTTTTTTTAAATCAGGTATATTCTAAGTTCTAACTTAGGGAACAGTTTTAAGTTGCATCTATCGTTTCAGTACCTTTTGACACATGGTATATCTTTTTGATATACATATATCACTTGATATTTTGGTTTAAAAATCCTCCTGTTAGGTTACACTATTCTTTCTCCACAAAACTTAAAATAAGACAAGATTAATCGAATTTATATTTAACTATTAATTTTGTTTAACTAATTTTGTTCTAGGCGAGAGGCCCAACGTTCTTCAGAAGACTGACGTTCTAGTTGTTGACAACGATGTCTGCAACGATTGGTATAAATCCCAAGGTAGCAAAGTTCGGATAATTGGTACTCAGATGTGCGCAGGACACGAGAGTGGTGGTAGAGATTCTTGTTGGGTAAGATATAGAATTTTTAATAATCCTACACATGAGCATGTTTATTCTGTAATAAGTAATAGTTAAGCAGGGGTGGTACATACCTGCAATCTGAGTTCATGCGATAGCCCTGGGCTAAGCCAGTGTTCTTGGTCTACGCCCTTGACTTGCGAACTGCTAGTAAATGTAAATCTACAATTAATCTAACTTCTTTCTGACGATTTATAAGTGTACTTCTTTACCTATATGAATAAAGATATTTTGAGTTTGACTTTGAGATTGCTTACTTCCTTCCAAGTTCCAAGACAAGTTGGTTGGTTGGACAAGCGACACATGACGTAATTTTTTGGGTTTAAGGCATGGTTTCCTGGCAATGTTGCCTTCACCGTTGGTGCAAATCTTAATCGCGCATAGAAACTTGGTTCACCAACGTCATTCGAACTTACGATCTTTGAGAGTCGCACGTTTAACCCATTAAGCCGCTACTCGCTCAAAACAACAATAAAAAAAACCAAAAAGCGTTGTTTGGCTATGGCTCATGCCGCATGGATGGTCACAGGACCACACTTTCTACCCAACTCTTCTTTGAATCAGATGTATTTTTCGTTAAAAGAGTGATTTATTTTTATTAAAAGCCTAAAGCTTATTAAACAACAATGGTGATGCCACAAGTCTGGGCTTCAGATTTATGTTCGTGACAAATTTGGTTTTTCTGATCATCAGCCTCCTGTACTTGTCAGAAAAAAACAATAAAAAGCTTGCAGTGGTAAATTTGGTTCTAAAAGCAAAGTACTTATAAGTGACCTATAATTATTTCAGGCTGACAGCGGCGGCCCTCTAATGACTAAAAATGAAAATGGTCACACTACGCTCATAGGAGTTGTTTCAACTGGTAGTGGATGTGCAAGAGCAAAGATGCCTGGTATCTACACAAGAGTATCTCGATACACAGAATGGATACAGGCAAGTGTTAGTGAAGACACATCACGATCTAGTTTAAGATGGTTTTCGGGAGCACGTTAGACCTATATATCTGGTAGTTCCAACCAATAGATATTGTATGGTCTACAGCAAGCTTACCACTCAAAAAAGATAGATCCTCTTTTCCTCACCCTCCTCTACCGTCAAACCGGCAACGCACCCACTAACATGGGTATCCATGGGCTGCGGTATGGCCGGCCCTAGGCTCGTCTCCCCAAGCCGGTGTCATTATTTCAATAGCGATTTCGATTCCAATTAAGTCCCTCCATCTTCGTGGTGCTTTTGTTTTTTGGTCGAAAAGGTTAAATATGAAAAGAAATCGCTCTTGTAGTAATGCATCTTTGTAAATAAGTTTGTGATATTTTAGTCTAATTTATTATTCACACCTTGTTGATCATTTAAGTGTTAGAACACTGTTATACATAAGTTGTAATTTTTATTTTAAATAGTAAAACTGTGATATTAATTTTAAGTATATTTATTGATGAAAATAAATTGTTTAAAAAGTAACATTATTTTGCTTACAAAACACCTTAAATTCCCTTTCACTCCTTTCAATTACCGAAAACAGTTTTCTACCGGACGACTCTCCGAGATCGTCACTTAGTGAGCTTAAAGCTATTTCTATTGCATCTTTAGCTTCTTTTAAAAGCTCTTCATGTGTTTTTAAACAACTTTTAACCTTTTTAGATTTTAGAACCAAAGCTGCGTGTAATTCATGATGTAAAACTGAGTTGTATAAACTCAGTCTAGCGTTTCCTGGGTCCAAAGTTTTAGTGATAAAAATAAGATCTTTACACATTTTGATTTTCTTGTCCAAAATATCTTCCGTTGAATAGCTAGGTTGTCTACCATATAACTGAACGAGTGAGTGTTTTATTGAGTATATATGATAATGGTTCGGATGCAGGAACATTGTTAATCTGCATATAATGTTTTCTAATATTGGTACAGCACCTCCCATCATTAAGACTCCATCAACCTCTTCCCCCATTTGAGAAATTATCGCGTTGACTTGTGAATTACCAACTTTAACTTTACATTTACTGCAAGCCCAGTCTGTTTCATCATCTAAAGGGTCTTCTGGTAGATGTATCCCGTCGCATGTTTCCTTTCCATCGCCCATGCACTTCATAGCACTTAGATATGTCCCTAACTCTGTGGGGTCAGTACATCTAAGGCATTTGCATGAAAAATATTTCGTTTCCTTTAAATGTTGCCGTCTTGCCTGAGTTCCCCATAAAGCGTGACTATACATTGTGGCTATATGTTGACCCATTAATATTGGCACGACTACTTTGACACAAATATTTAGGTTATTTTCAATATTGAAAGTATGTTTCGTGTTCGGTACACAGCTATGTTCCATGACACTTGTTTTTGCGTATAATCCATTTAACTCCGATCCTTCAGGTAGACGTATTTCTAGTGCGTTCGTATCAATTATACCACAAATTGTATGTAATAGGTACTTTGAGGTATTGGGAAGGTATTTCGTCTTGACTTCACCGTCCAATCTTGAGATGAAATTGGTTATAAGATACTCGATTATAAATTCGTCCGCTTCGCTGTAACAAAAGCAAAATGTTAGGAAATATATGTTATAGTACTTTTTATTTTAGCTGAAACAAATTTGAGTTAAATAGATTTTGAGTTATTTAACTTTCGTTGTAAATGTTTTTTAGAGTATTTATAAAAAAAAAATATATAATCCGGAAATAAGAATGAAACAGTTTAGCAGCCAGCGACACCAGGTAATTCGGCATCCCTTAGAATATACTCCCATCAAAGTACTAACATGTCTATAATAAAGTCTATTCCATGTTAAGGACCTCTTCCTTTGAAGGATTGATATGTAGGTTGAAAAAAAATATATAATATTCTGGACGATAATGCGAGCGGGGCGTGCGGTACGTGTGCATTATCTATCTATCTATTAACTTAGAAGTTATGTTTGTTATACATCTATTGACAAACGTAACTGGCAGGCTGTCCAATATTGCTGTTGGATGGCAGGTTAGCCATCCAACAGCAATATCCAGAAATTTCCAAGAACACTGTGTCTAATGTAAGCAAGCAAGTTGTGCGTAGACAATGATTAGTATTAAAAACTAGGTCAGAAAACCACTTGTATAGGATCGGGAATTCCTGGTCGGAGATCTGAGAGAAATTTCTAATATTATTTTCACCTCAAGTAAAGTGGGTTGTTTTGACCTTAAATTGTCCATTATCTCGGATAAAATAAAATCTCAGTGTGATCAAATTGTGATTACTAAATATGCAAATTTTTCCCAATTCCCTTGGGCATGCCTCGGATTATTGCGTAATTCCAATTTTCGGTTCCACCTGGGGTGTAAGTACAAGTACGGCGGAGTTCATTATGATAGTGGAAAAAAGTGGTTGCCCTACGAACATTTAGGTGTAGGCCTCAGATTTCTGTATCTGTGATTTTTTTCTAATATGCAAAATTTATCAGCCTTCTGTGCCTGACAAACGCCGTCGACTTTTTGGCTCTGAGATATGCCTCATTGTTGTCGTTCACCGTATGAGCTAGTGTTAAATGTGCCCATAGACAGAAACTTACAGGCGGGCTTCGAACGCACGACGTCAGAGTTGTGAGACGAACGCTCAAGCCACTACGCCATCACATCACGAACACAAAAATAATGACTATAATTATAGCATATTAATACTTATAATCTTGTAAGCTGACATGGCAAACCTTCTTGCCATATAAATAAAGTGTTATAAGTATTTTTTTTTTGTTAGTGTTAGTGCACGTTAGTCTTAAGTGCTAAACAGTGGTAAGTGACAAAATGGAATACAAGAACAAAGTGTCTTTCCCTTAATAGAGACTGTAACGCTGGCCATAGACGGACCGCATGTTGCAGTCGATACCGACTGCTCTAAGCGGTCGCCGCACGGCGTACTGCAGTTTCCATACTAAATTCATATCCGCCATACACGGACTGCACGACCAATTTCTGAGCGGTCGGAGCAGTCGCTCTGCGGTCGAGTTTCGCCGTGCGGTCGACTGCTTAGAGCTGCCGGACCCACCATACACGGACCGCTACAAGCGGTTGCTGCCGACCGCGCGCCACTCCCTCAAATAAAATAAAATACTAACTAATTCATCAAATGAAACCACGGACGTTCTAAAGTAGTTGAAAAACTTTTTAGTGTCTTCTCTCAGCTGGTGATACAAAGTATTAAATATTCCATGCTGTTCTCTTGATTCTAGTATTGGACGCACCCACATACTACGGTGTCTTTAACGCCTACGCTTGCGTAATAGTAGTACAAGTAGCAGTGTTTCTTCATCGAAATCCATCTTGTAAATGAACTCGCATCAGTATTATTTTGCGGTCCAACACAACTGCTCCAAGCAGTCGTAGTCGACTGCATTATGCGGTCGTGTTGCAGTCGTGTACGACTTCAACGCGATCGCTCTACAGCAGTCGGTTTCGACTGCAACATGCGGTCCGTCTATGGCCAGCGTAAGTGGTTTCTTATGTTAAATATCCTTTTTAGTAAATAAGGTTAGTATTAAATTACTCATTAGCCTTAAGTTAGGCTAGATCGTAAGCACATGCATAAAAAAAAGTATTTTAATTCCAAATAATAATATTTAAAAATGTTTGGAATTACCCTTATATATGGGATACAGTTTACAACCCATTCTCAGAACTAAATAATATAATAATTAATAAATAATAATTAATACGTAATTTAAAAAAAATCACGTTTTTAAAGTGAGAATTATACATAATATAATTAGAAGTATATATTTACTCATAAGCTTCAGTGCCAGGTGCTCTACTCTCCATATGTGATTGCATATCCATCACTTGCTTCCATCTCTCAGGATCTATATTTTGTAGTAGAACACAGCGGAGTGGGAGAAGTGCGTCATGTCTGAAATTAGGTATCAACTATATTAGGACAAAATTGTCTTTAATTCACGCGAGTTACTTTAAATGAAAGTTTTATAACTAATTTAAGCTCGCAGTGTTGCTTGCGTTAACAAAAATGCCCTGATGAGTCAATAATTCTAGATTTTTAGTTTTTCACCACGTTTTTTGTGGCACCACATACTGAAGATTAAAGGTATGTTAGATTGGGCGCTAATTAATATATGAGCGCTAAACGAATCCTAATTCCGCTAGATTAGGTTATTATATAAGTAAGTTTTTATAAGTGTATAAGTTATACTAAACTGTTAAGTATTACTTAACCAATTTTTACTTAGTTTATTACTTTCTTTGATATATATACCAATCCAGTCAATATTATATATATATATCCAGTAGTTAACTATTTGTAAAGATTTATTTAATGGCGTAAAAGAACATTGTATTTAGTAAGAAAATTAGTAATAAAAGCTGTAAATCTTTCTCAATAAATAAAATAAAATAAATAAATATATTACTAATAATTTTTATTGAAGATGAACGGGTATTATGCTACGGAGCCCCTATGAACAATGTCACTATACCTAAGTTGCGATACAGATATTAAGAGAATATAGCAGTCGCAATTGGAAGTTACGGGTGCAAGTTTACATATATCGTTTTTATTCCGAAACTCTGTGATCTGTGATCTTTAATATATTTTTACTGCAGTATCTTCTACCGAATTTAACATGGAGATTGTTCAGAGGAGCTGTTTGGACTAATACCTGTAGCTGAGTTTCATCATCGGACATCGAAACAGAATACGAAATTCAACCCGTATCACTTCGATGTCCGTGGTTCCACAACTGTGCGTTTTTTAAGGCAGTTTTTGCCGCGCACCATCACTATGTGGATCCAGCTACCCACTGAAGTATTTCTAAACCAATTCGACTTAGAGTCCTTCAAGAACAGCGTACATCTGCTCTTATTATAAGGCCGGCAACGCTACTCGCGAGCCCTCTGGCATTGAGAGTAGCGTCCATTGACGGCGGTATCACTTAACATCAGATGAGGTAACATAAAAAGAACTTACCTATAATATTCAGCCATATTATCCAAAACGCAGTCCGGCCTTGAACTCAGTATGTGACACTCCACGCCATGATGTCTTGGGTCTGTGAGGCCCGGACAGTTGCCGGAACATACTGGCCAGCCACATCTGAAATTTGTTTAACAAACCAAATAATAATTATTATATTTTTTTTGCACTACTTATCAATATCTTTATTATGTTAAGAGATGCTTTTTAAAGTAGTATTTTGTTATAGAACAGCGGTCAAACGGGCAGGAGGCTCATCTGATGTTAAGTGATACCGCCGCTCATGGGCACTCTCAATGCCAAAGGGCTACGCACTCGTTGCCGGCCTTTTAAATTAATTAATTATATTATTTATAATTAACTTACTCAAAGTTTAAATTCATTCAACTCTATTATAAACTTAATTATTTTAGACAATTTACCTTAAAATTATTTAATATATTTTATAAGACGTTTGCACACTTTAAAAGCTTTCTATTTCAAACGATTATTAGATTGTTACTTTTGGAAACTAGTTGATATACTGACTTGGAACAACGTTCACCAACATCCGTAAAGATGGGCTTATAACAGCCCACACAAGGCATTTTAGATTCCGGATCAGGCATTGCTTTGGGACCAAATACTATTGGGGACTCTTCTATCACTAAATCGCCAGGTGACAAGTCTCTTGATGCTACCAGGTACCTTCCTAGATCTTCCGAGGCGTGAATCTGCGGAATTTATTATAATATATTATTCTTATATGAGCAGTGTTGGCCTAGTGGCTTCAGCGTGCGCCTCTCCCGCCTATCCCTGATGTCGTAGGTTCAATCCCCGGCTGTGCACCGATGGACTTTCTATATGCGCATTTAACATTCGCTCGAAAGGTGAAGGAAAACATCGTGAGGAAACCGGCTTGCCTTAGACCCAAAAAGTCCACGTGAGTCAGTCACAGTAGGCTGATCACCTACTTGCTTATTAGATTGACAATTGATCATGAAATATGCAAATCTGAGGCCCAGACCTAAAAATGTCGTAGCGTGACTGATTTATTTCTTTATATTACTCTTATGTACCAATCACTGTAAAAGGCACTTGAGCTTTGCTTCAAAGGTAAAAAAATTCATAAATCAAGTATGAGTGGTAGACTACTGGTTGTGTCTCTCAACTATCTGGTCTTGGGTTCAAACCCTACTTAAACAGCGTAAATAAACATATCCTCGGACGTTAACCGACGCCAAGAGTAACTTAAAGAAACCGGCATGTTACCAAATCTTGTAATTTACTTGTGTAATTTACATCAAGAATATAAATTTTAATATAAAATTAGGGTTAATTTAACGTGACAAAACTAAGTTCAAAAGTTTATAGAGTTAAATTCAAATGAGCAATATTAAAGCATTAACGTCTACGATAAAGTTCTTCAAAACTTTTCAAAGTTAACATAAAACTTCTATAACGGATAAAACCAGATTTAAATGTGTAGTGGATATCTATGTTAGCGCTTCTGTACGTTTCGGAAATATTAGATATCAAACAAAACTATTTTGTTACAAGTCTTAAATCAAGTTAGACTATACTAAATTCTCAATATTATACTGGAATCCCGTTCTTGTATGTAGCGACATCTATGGCTGCATTACGATGAATGCGCAATACGCAGAAAGTCTGCTACTGTATACAACTTCTAAAAGTAGTACCTTCCTTCCTCAACCTTTCCTTATGAACGTCCTCGTAGCTTTAACATTTTTGAATAAAACTTTTGTTTGTTTACAAGCTTATAATATAGCTTATAAAGCAAGTTAATAATAAAACAAGATCTTAAATATAAATGCTTAAAGCGCCATCTATGGTTTTTACAATAAACCAGATGTTCGTAATCAGCGCGGCAGTTTGGTGGTTTTAGTTAAAGCATAAACTCCTAGATGGCGTGAATAACAATGTTTACTTACCTCATACGGTAATTTAACGGAGTCCATGGTTCTAAAATTAAAAATAAAATTACATTAATACAATATAATTAACTACCGGTACTATATACCAGGCGCCAACTGAAATCTTATAGCGTCTGTGCACTTGAACCTCACGGCGTAAGTCTCTATTCCAAAGGGAACTAAATCAAAGTGGAAGGAAAGACTCACTTTTTGCCGTTTATTGTAGATGAAAAATTAATTAATTATTTCACGAAGTAAAAGTTAAATTAAAATATAGCATTGCTCTCGTGGCTGGTTTGTAAAACATACTTTCGAAACCGTTTACATTTTTTGACTTACACAAAAACCATTTTCACTACTATCTACTATATAGGTAATTAATATTGTAAATACTATATATTTGTGTTATAAATATAAAACGTCTCCTTTATGGTAGAAATTAGTATATACTTATTACTTATACAAGGACATCGAATCGGTGTTCGATAATAATTTAAGTCACAGAAAAATTAAAGAAATGTTTAAAAATCTTACTAACAACAATACACACTATTTTAGTCTACACTTGATTTAATGCTCTATTGCCCTGAATCACGATTCCAGCGTTTAAATTTAAACCTAGAGAGTTAATCAAATTACAGTTGTAATAACCAAGTCTTTGGGTTCATATAAGATTCAGTTAGTCAAATAACGAAATTGATTAGGATTCAATATGTAGCTAGTTGGTTAATAAAAAGTATAATTACACACACAATCTAAGTTCATTCAAAATAATTTAGCAATTATCAGACATTTATCACTATAATGCACAAACACTTTTATCACTGCACACACACACAAATCACACACAAGCATTTTAATCCTTTAAAATTATATTACTTAAGTCATATTTTTTCAACCGTGTGTCTAATCAGTAGACAATTTCTATACATGGATACCAAGAGTCGTTGATTAAATATTTCTACTGGCAACTTAGTTACGTTACCTAATGTCAGATTAAACGACTCATTTAAGGAGGCATCTAAACCTACTTTAGCTTCCGATTTCAAATAAATTAAGTCTTGGTTAAGTATTAATGAACGACTCTGAGTACTCCTGTAAGTGCCATTTTAAACAATTGAAAGATTCGCGTTTCTACATTAACTTACTTGGTCATAATCATAAATAACACCAGGTGCGCGCGCGCACTGTAAGCTTTCCAGCTGAAAACTGAACGGTCAGTGATTTAATGGCATCATTTCGGAATTGCGTAATTCATTCAGAAGTTTTCGTGTTTAGTCTAATTTCATTCATAGATTTTTTAGTTACTAAATTAAATATAATTATGAAAATTAAAATTAATTAAATTCGTTCTCATACGGGCGAATACGTTTCTACAATTATAATTGTTGTTTAGAAAATAACATACAAATGTCTTACAGCTCAATTTTCTCCTTTAATCTATACACAATTTATGTTGTATATTATTCTAGCTTATATAATACCTCTCTTTCGAATTCTTCGCGATTTATCCGGAGCTGGATATATTCGGTAGTGGGCTGATCGGGTTTAGAGAAAGCATTGTTGGAAGCCTATCTCGGACCTAATTCGCGGTTTTGCTGATGATTTTTTTCTGCTTTCCCAAAAACTCCTGGTAATTTTATTGTAAGCTTATTATATCTTATATATATTTTAATTATATATTTTGATATATTTTTTTGTAACTCTTTATGTTTACTGCAATTGTCATACATTTTTGATGGAAGTTTTTGTAAAATATGCCGTAGAGTACTATGTATGTTGTGGTAAACTTTAATAAATAAATCAATAGCTTAAAAAGAAATACAAGAAACACATCAGTCTTTTTTTACGTTGGGGCGGTGAGGTAAAACGTCGGTTGTATGCTCCTCTAAACAGATCTCTACTGCATTAAACGGCGCTTTGAGAACATGCGAGGCTGATGATAGTTTCCATGTCTTCAGGCATAAGATGATGCAGCCCTTATTGTTCCGAAATACTAACAACTGCTAAGGGAGCGTTCAAGTATTACGTCACGCAATTTTTAAAGATTATTGGACCCCCCATGTAACGCGTCGTAACGTTTTTCTGTACCCAAGTATAGTAAAACGTTTCGTGACCACCTAGTGACTCTTTATACCTAAAAGTTACCATTATGTGGTGTAAAGTACTGGTAGTGAATCTCGAAAATCTAAAATAATATTAACAATAAAGCGTAATTCAATCCCCGCCCCGTATCGTAACGTTTTACAAAAGGATCCCCCTCCAAATTCGTTACGTAATACTTGAACGCTTTTTAAATTGCATATTTGTATTTCTTAATCTAGTTTATTTTCTATTATTTTTATTGCTGTACAGTTTTTTGTAAGTGTTTATATGTATTTCGTTAGTGTGGCTTTTTAAAAAAAATATTGATGAAAGTAAATTAGAAATTATACATGTTTTATATAACACGTTTGATTAACAATACAAAGTTGATGGATTAACATTTAAACCGAGAACGACCTTTGAAATATTCAAATTTTTGGCAGTCGTCCGAGATGTTACATAGTTCGTTGTGATAATTACTCGTGTCTATTTCTATCGAGTATTGTGTCAGAGACGACGCCGAGCACTCGCCTTAATCTCTACCATGGATAACAAAAAAAGGAAATTGCCCGCCTGTGAAGTATGCCAACAGCCGGCCAATCAAACATGTGGTGGATGCAAATCCGTCTTCTATTGCTCAAGAAATCATCAGAAGACCGCATGGAAAGAACACAAATTCCAATGCCGCCCATTCGAAATCCAGTTTTCAAATACAGCTGATAGATATTTGGTAGCTACAAGGGATATTAAGCAAGGAGAAATTATATTAAGAGAAAAGGCAGCTGTAAGTGGACCAAGAACGGCGTGTACCGCTCATTGTCTTTCGTGTAATAAAAAGTTGGAACCAATGAATGAAGATAAAACGTTAGATTATTACAAATGCTCAGAATGTAACTGGCCTATGTGTGGTCTTAAATGTGAGAAATCCAGTGTACATAAAGAGGAATGTAAGCTTATGTCCAGTAATAACTACAAAAGCAACATCACATACAAAAATCCTGAGAAAGCAGAGGCAGCATACTGTGTAATAGCGCCTTTGAGAATGCTCTTACTAAAAACATCAAATCCAGAACAATACAACAGTCTTATGAGTCTAGAATCACACGTAGAGAAGAGAATTAATACACAACTGTATTCCATTCTTAAAACCAATCTTGTTACGTTTATTGTTCAAGTGCTGAAACTCCCATTTGACGAGGACACCATATTGAAGGTAGCATCAATATTAGATACGAATTCGTTTGACGTGAGATCGCCGGACGGTGTAAGTAGATTCAGAGCAATATATAATACAGCTGCAATGATTAACCATAATTGTACGCCTAATACTCGACATATATATTTAGGTGACGATTATACGTTGGCATTAATCGCAACTGTGCCAATCGCAAAGGGGGAGACGCTGACAGCAGCGTACACCCAAGTCCTATTGAGTACATTAGATAGAAGAAAACACTTATATACCACCAAGTACTTTCATTGTGATTGCGAGAGGTGTAAAGATGAAACTGAATTTGACACTTATCTTGGAAGTATTTACTGTTCGTTATGCGCCAGGGCTACAGTAGAAAACAAACCAATGATGCTGTCTACAGATCCTTTAAACGAAACAGCACTTTGGAAGTGTGGAAGTTGCGGCCATTGTGTTGAAAGTCGTCAAATGTTTTGGGGGAACAATGCTTTGAAACAAGATCTGAATAAAATGAATAAGAAAAGGCCTGAGGACTATGAGACATTTATCAAAACATATAGCCATACTTTACATCCAAAAAACCATTTGGTTGTGCAAGCAAAACTTGCTTTGATGCAGATTTATGGCAGTCAAGAAGTGTACAGTCTATCAGGTAAGTTGATTTTTATAATAGATATTAAATATTATTCGTAAAAAAAAAACTTTTCGCAACAGCCTAAACAAAATTTGAATTAAAGAAACATGTGTGTGTGTACACGCGTTAGAAGTTATACTTCTTTGGCGTAACAAGATAAAAATCTTTCGCCTTATTCTACGTTTGTAGAAAAAACAACACTAACAAGAGAAAAAAGGTATTTCAGACATTGAAAGTTTTATCATAACGCATTATCTAGTTAAATAAAGATTATTTAAATATCACAAAAAAAAATATACATAATTAAAGATTTAACCTTTTTTATTTTAAAATGTTGACTATGCTAACTTCAGGGTGTCGTGTAAAAATTTACTCTCATCATTTTTCCCTAACGGGCCAAAAGAAGTATAACTTCAATCGGTCAAATGTGGACTAATATTTAACTGTTTTTAAATAAAACACGCCATTCATGTAATATGTACTAACATTTATTAAAAATTTCAGAACTATCGGATGAGTTACTAGAAAGAAAGGTAGAGATATGCCATGACCTTCTAGAAATAGCAGATAAGTTGGAGCCAGGCTGGTCCAAGTTCAGAGGCTCTGTACTTCTAGAACTCCAAGGCGCTATGGTGATGCAGACGAAGCGAGATTTTGAAGCTGATAAGATTACAAAAAGTGGCGCTCAGGTGTGTATAAAAAGACCATTGATCATTGAAAAAAATCACAAAAAAAACCAAAAAAATCACATCATTGAAAAAAATAAAATTGTTAAACACTACAACCTAATAATAATAATGTATTTATTCAAGTAGACAATCGTAAGAACAGATGGTTATTTTAGTAGTTACAATATTGTCCTAAATATTAATATATATAAATTACGCGTCACGTTGTTTGTCCGATATGGACACCTTAAGTAATAAACCGATTTCAATCAAATTTGCACACCGCGTGCAGTTTGATCTAACTTAAAAGATAGGAAACCTTACATTTATATAATTCTACTGTACGTGTGTATGTCACTGAACTCCTCTTAAACAGCTGGACCGATTTGAATGATTTTTTTTGCATGCGTTTGGGTGGAGCCCTGGATGCTTTAGATTCACAAATCAGCCCGGCAGATGGTTCTGCAATCGGTACTTTCATATTTTGTTTAATATCCTAATTGCTTGAAATATCATGCAGAAACGTCTGTCGGGTCCGCTAGTATTATATATTAGTAGGTTTGATTTTAAGTGTATTAAAAAGGATTGCTACAACCGCTGCGGTTACACACTTAAAGCGTACCTTTTTCTTTAAAAGAAAAGTAAATTGTTATCTCTCATTCTTTTTTTGTTATTATTGTTATTTTGTGTGTTTCTATGTGTGTGTTTCTATGTGTGTGTTGGTTAGTAATAAATGTTATGTCTATGTCTACATGCAGTCCATTGCAATGGCCCATGTAAGGGCATTCCAGCCTCCCCGCTATCAAAATTGTAATAGTTCTATTAATATAGGTACTATAATAATAGATACGAGCAAGCTTCGATTATAACGAGTCTATGACCCATTGAAACTATGGTAACCAGCCTAGATGTTTGGGACTGAAAAAAACTCTATTTCATTTTCGCTTTAGGTCCGTATTTTATTCGCAAATGAAGCTACTATATAGACCCTCTTGTCAAAAACGTTATACTTCGTATAGAAAACTGTTTAACATAGGTTGAGAATCCTTAGGGCACCCCTAAAACCTATTATTTAAGTTTCTTAAGTGAACGATTCAATTTTTAATATAATAAATGTATGTAGGTTGGGAAAGACTGCCTTAGAATCAGATTCAGACACGCTACCGCGAACTATGGCTTCCATATGTCAAAATCCATTACATTGTTGACGTACGGAATACAGACTGAGCACAGTCCTTAGTACTTTGCAATTATATTTTTAGAATTAGCACTACTAAATACAGAAAATTTTTATTCTTGAATACTGTGTTAATGATTCCAGGAGCAATTAATGGAGAGTATGGTTTTACTTCAAGAAGCCGTGAATATTTTAAAAGTTGAACCACATATGAAAGAGGCTTTGGAGGAGAAGGTTCAAGAATTGTCAACGTTAATGGAAACAACGTCGATTGAAGGTAGTTGAAAAAAACTGTTTTAATCAATGTATTTCTGTTATAATTTATTAAAAACAAAATTACACAGACCAAGTATTTTCTCTTAAATATACTAAAAATAACAATACGAAATATAAAATACTGCGATAATTATTATATCTGGCAATATATTATATATACATATTTTAAAAGCTAAGCAAATTTATATCAGAAAAAGTTCTTTAAGCTAACAGAAATCTTATATTAGAATAAAAACAGTGTTGCTACATTTTTAGGTCTGGGCCTCAGATTTCTGTATCTGTTTCATGATTAATTGTCCATGTAATAGGCAGATGATCAGCCTCCTGTGCCTGACACACGCCGTCGACTTTTCGGTTTCGACAAGCCGGCTTCCTCGCGATGGTTTCCTTCACCGTTCAAACAAATATATGTATAAAGAAAATCTATTAGTGCACAGCCGGCGATCGAACCTACGACCTCTGGAATAAAAGTCGCTCACTGAAGCCACTAGGGCAACACTACTCAGAAATCGAATAGAATAATTTCAATCAGGGTTTTAATAAAATTTTTGAAGTATACACACACACTCAAAATAAAGACACTTGTAACTGCTGTATTTATTTAATAACGCAAATAAAAAAGCTTTTTAGATTTATTCATACATCGTTACATTGTTCAATTCTTATAGGCGTTACTTTGGTCGGTTTTGTTGTGACTTCGTCTATATGAACACTCAGTTCCAGAGTTTGCTTGTTGATGTTGAGAATATTTTTGATAGCATTAGATAATTTCTTCTTTGGTTTTGGAGATGTTTCTATAACGAATATTTCATTCCTTGCATTTTCAAGATCTTTAGTCTTTCTGGTAACCTGAAAAGTTTTCTTTACTTATTATAAATATTTCTGTATTGTTCAAATATGAATGAAAAAATCGTCATTGCTATCCCTGAGTAAAAAAGGCTTTTCCAAAATATTTTTAAAATTGTTCAGCCGGGATTTTTATTATATGCTGTTTAATAAATAGAAAAATAACACTTATAATATAAAATACCCTTTTTGAGATATGTGGCAACTATTTTAAAATAAATATTACTACATATTTGTTGAGAAACATCACTGAAAATTAATTATAAATCGGGATTATTATCTCACATATTGTTACGAAGACAGGTAAAATGAAGTGTTTCTCGATTTAAAATATGATTTATGGCAGTTTTTTTCCACGTAATTCATACATTGGACTAGCAATATGTCGTTGTTTTATTTAAAAAAAACAATAAAAATGTATTAATGTTATCATTTTTTAAATAACTAAGTGTTACAGGAATTCCTTTCGCAACTGTAATTAATGAAAAATCTATTATATTTTAGTTTAAATATATTTATGTATATATGAAGTACCCGCTTAACATAATAACTTAAATACGAGGGTACCCGCATAATAACTTGAAATTATCAATGAAATTATATATAAAAAGTAGCTACTGGATGAATCTATACATACCAAACAACAGACACAGCACCAAGTACCGAATCTGAAACAGGCCAAGCCCGGAGTTCTGTCCATGGCTCTTCGAAATCTCACGTTTGTGAAGCCATAGATCAGAGGATTGAGAGCACAATTCAGATACATAAGGTAACTCGCGGTAAACCATAATATTTCATAACCACCTTCCACCTGATGGAAGTCATTTGGAAATAAATATATAGTACCGGTGACCCAAGAGCTGGTGCTTTCTTCGCTCAACAGTTAAATATCGCAATACAGCGATGAAATGCTGCCAGCGTTAAAGGTACACTGCCACAGGGACCAAACTTTTAAATTCGTTTTAATTTTACTTTTCATTAATTTTTAATTATTTATATTATTAATATGTAGGTTAAGTGTAAATTCTGTATATTTTATGGTAATGTTCAGGTTTTAATAAACGACAATCTAATATTTAGATATTAAATATTTAAAATGCTTATGTATCTCAAAACAACAAATCGATATTGATGAAATTCGGACTGTTCCCTAAGTTGGAATTTATCATCATTTACTTTCCTTTTTATAGAACAGGGAGCAAGAAGGAGGATCACCTGATGTAAAGAGATATCGCCCATGGATACTCACACTGCGATATGGCACGCAAGTGCGTTGCCGGCCGTTGAAGGAGAAATTTGTGGACATATATCACATAAATGTCAAACTGATAACATCCTTTTTAAAGTCAGTTCGATTGCGCGTTTCAAAGCAATTCAAACATAGAAATTGAATTTAAAAAGTATGGGATATGATGTTTAAGTGACAGTGACATGAACTGTCAAAATTACGCCTGTCATTAATTTCAAGACACATTTCTGAGGTTTGAACCACTAAAGCAAAATCAATTAGTATGGAAATGGTCACGTGACAAGGCGTAAGCAAATTTTATTACAACGCAATTTATTATTTATTTATTTTCAGCATACCAAACAATAATTATAATATAGCATGACGTATATAATATAATATATTATATTATATTAGAATCTTGAACTACTAAAATCTACTATATAAAAATAAGTCGGGTTTTCCTTCCTGACGCTATAACTCCAGAACGCACGAACCGATTTCCACGGTTTTGCATTCGTTGGAAATGTCTCGGGCTCCGTGAGGTTTATAGCAAAGAAAATTCAGGAAGCCATCTGGTGGCGAAACAGAGTTCGCCGAGTTTGCTAGTTTATTATAAAAATAAAAACCATTGCTGACCTCTTGTGCAGATCCCGGAGAGTCATATTATTATTTCATTAACCTTCAGGCCAGGCTAGTCTTTAGACAATACTTGTGAGTAAAAGTAAAATATTTGCAAATTCAACAAACAAGTATCACTATTTTAAACTGTGCTTCGTGGAGTCTCGGACTTGGGTCTATTATCGAAGTATATAAAGGTCTATTTTCGAAGCAATTAAACTTAAGGTCCTTCAAATGAGCGTACCAAATCTTGAAAGGCCGTCAACGCACTCGCGAGCCTCCATGGGCGTTGGTATGACTTAACAGGAGAGCCCGTTTGCCCCGTGTTATATATAAAAAAATCCCGTTTTACTCGTTTGCGCTTTACAACGCATGCGCATACTTACCGCATTAATTTCCTTAGCCATATTATTCCTCCAATAAATAAGCACAGTGTATGGTAGTCTACACAAAGTAGATGCTACTAAAACCATAGCAGTCACGCGCATAGCTTTTCCCCTTGCTTTCACCACTACCTTACCTCCACCCCGTGATGTTAGCTCACGAGCACTGCATTCCAAACGCCATATTATGCCACCGTACTAAAAAAAATCACGAGAGATTTTTATAGTAAAAAACGTAAATTAAAAAAAAATAGTTTTTCCAATTATTTATTTGGAAGGCATTTACAACACAGAAACAGACACACCTGTATGTACATAAATGTGCGCACGAAACGTACCTACAGGGACACCAAACCAGAATGCTAAAACATATTACAAAAATACATATTTTATCATTCTAGATATTAAATTAAAAGTCATGTAAAATAAAAATTTATTAACACATAAATATATACATATATATTATAATCAACTCTTTTATGTAGTACATAAAAACAGTTAATAACTGTTTTTTGTGTCAATGACACCCAATGTTTAGTTAGTTTTATTACTACACAATCTTCTAGTTTATAATAACTAAAATTCACTTACCGTGACTATCATTACACCCAGTGGAAGCCAGACTAGCAGCATCAGAATAAAATGCCAATAAACCTCTAAAAAGCTCACATCCTCCACACAAAACATCTCTAAGAAATCTAGCCATTGCCTTTCCTAAAAAAATAATATTGTTTTAATATAAAACTAATAATAATATGTGTTTATTGATTACCTATATCAATACATTACAATGTGTAAGATTTGGGAACTCTTTTTAGTAAAAAATACCTGAGCCAGGATTCACAGCTTTTCCATAACAAACTTAAGAAAGTAAATAAAATATTTTTATCTAATATATAAAATTCTCGTGTCACAATGTTCGTTCCCATATTCCTCCGAAACGGCTCGACCGATTCTAATGAAATTTTTTATGGATATTCGGTAAGTCTGAGAATCGGCTACTTACAATACTTATGACATAACATACAAAAATACATACAACCCTTAATTGTCACCCCTCTACGATCAACCCCTATTTTTTATTATAGAAATTAAAAAAATGTTTCCTAGAAATAATATACATGGCAAAACAACGTTTAGCGGGTCAGCTAGTTTTCTATAAACATGAACTGTTCACAACATCTCTCAATATAATTATATTTTTTGAGTCTACCCTCGATTGGCAAATCGCATGGCTTATACTTCTAAATTCTAGTGGGGAAAAATAAAAACCCTATAAATTTATTTTAAAGCAACGCTAATTTATATAAAAAATCACGCAACAACCTCTTTCAGTGAAACAAGCGTGAAACCATTTTTATTCAAAAACCTAGTGCGCGATCCACGGATCTCCTTATTTATTGACCCACTTAAGAAACCGAATAAATAATAAAAACTTAATATTTTTCTAAAAAACACTTCCTGTCTGCGTTACTGATTTAAAATTGCTCACTTGATAATGCCTCTTGATAATCCAAGGTAGGGAAAGACCCATTGCTGCAATCCAAGTAATCAGAATAAGCTTCGGTGCACAATGTTTAGTTACTCTTGCCTCTGCAGTTAAGCAAGCAGCTGCCAGTCTGTCATAGGACACCAGCATTATTGATCCAACACTGGCTAAAAGAAGAGTTGCTGAAAATTTTGAAAATGAAATTGAGTTTATATTCATGGAATATAACAAAGAAAGTACGGATTCACAAGAGCTAGTATATCGTTTTACAGAAGATATCAAAAGTTTTTTATTAGTTCTATATCTATTGTTTATTAAAACTTAGCCGTTCCCGAGTTCTAGTTCTTCTTTATTTAAATTTCGTTACATTATACATACATTACACCTAACAAATAACATAAATTATTATTTTACATTTATATTATTTCTAGGAAACATTTTT